TGAACAAAAATGTCTTGAGGTAGTGTACTTGTTCAAAAGCCTCTCAAAAAAAAAAAAGGTTTGGATAAGTGTTCTGATTAAATATATTCCACTGTATCAGTGAGAAGGTAAACAGATTAATCAAATAGAATATTAATTCAAATGTATTGTTGCTCTATATGGAAACAGTAATAGCCAATGCCCTGAGTTTGGACGTCAGCACAGACAGATTACACTAATTTGCATAGGCAAAATTAAACTTCACAAACTCGGACATAAACAAAGGAACAGTTGCAAGAGGAATAAAAAAATCACAGAACATTAACTATCTTTCTATTCACTTCACTTTTGCTATTTAACCAGAGCGAATGAGACGAGACAGGCACTGCGGTCACGTGTGGTGTTTGTCAACGCGCCTTTGGAGAGAAGTGAAAGTGACAGCTCGGCTAGTATCGGTGTATCGATACTTCGGGAAATTAGTATTGGTACCGTTCAGATATTTCAGTATCGAAATTTATCGAAATATCGATATTTTTGACAACACTAGTTCCCTGCATCTATTGCAGAATCAGAGCGAGGACTGCATGCTTTCTCTCACCACATACTAGCATAACTAACAAACACAAAGAAAAACACAACATTCTACAGCTTCTTATAGCGCTGCAACAGTAAACAGAATATTTAATCAAGAAAACCATGTCTTAATCCTACAATAAACAGAAAAAATACCATAATACCGTCAAGAGAGAACAAAGCAAACATAAAAAACACAACAATAGCTTCCTTTCACAGCTTTCACCGCATGAGATTCGCTAGGGACCGGTTTCAGCTAGGGATTTGTTTCAGCAAATACTTCACACACTTCAGAGGTTCTGACACGCTTTAACATCCTTTAGAGGGTATGGCGAAATACATATCTCACAGTCAGTGACAGACAAAAATTAGGGCAAGTAAATATTACTCTTCCATTTCCACATCCAAAAATCCACTTTTTTTTTTTTTACCTTTTCAAAATGTACTGTAGTGTTACCATAGTACAATGATGATAACAGACGATAATACTATGGCACTCTAATATATTGCCTGCTATGATATTGTATGATTACCATGCTTATTTACATGGTTCTCCAAGGAAATAAACCATTATACATGTCCAAAAAAGGTACAATTGTAATTGTGATGTAAGTGTTTTTAAGATGTGTACTACTGTCAATAATATTCTGTGAAATGTGGTACTTATGTTTTTTTTTTTTGTGGTATTAATGCCTTTTTGTGAGTGGTAGTGGATCTTGTCATAGTTTTTAGTATTAAAGCGACCCCAAACTAAATTAAGGCAATATTCAAGGAATACAATCTATTCATATATAAATCAAGTCCACATCATCTTAAGCTTGCTAACTCAAATCTCTCTCTCTCTCTCTCTATTTATCTATCTATCTATCTATCTATCTATACAATACAAATATTTCACATTTTGATATTACATTTTAATTGTATTTATATTTTATATAATATTAAATAATTAAATCACTTAAATTATATATATATATATATATATATATATATAATTTGTATTATAGATTTTGGTAGGCTACTATTAGATGGATAGCCTAATGTCCTAATTCAGATGGGCTACCTGTTTTATTTTTTTAGTGGTATATCAAAAAGTGTATATTTTTTAAATGTGATTGTTGGTACATTTTACCAGTTTTTACCATACTTTCAAAACAAAAATTAAAATAGGAAAAATATGCAATATAAAAATAATTGAAGACAAAATGTGTTTTACTGAGAAAAAACAAGATTTGGTTTTTAAAAAATCAAATCTGGAAAAAGGGGGGTCGTCTTATAATCAGGGTCGTCTTATATTCGGGCCAATACGGTAAAATTAAATGAATAAAAATAAATGCTAATTAAAAATATTATATATAAATCTGAATATAAGATGGTCTTTTTAGAGCTGCTTTACAGCAGAATTGAATTTTGTTTGCATCATTGAATCACTATTTTCTTGTTTATCACTGTAAAGCTGCTTTGAAACAATGTATAAAGCACAATATAAATAAATGCAAAACATTTTTTAAATAATACTGCAATAACACATGCATGAAAATACTAAACTGCAATACTTATTAAATATTATAAAGTATATTCATTTTTCCAGGGACACTACAGTACTCAAAGCATAAGTCAGGTCTAAGGCAACAAACCAAAACTAGTATCGACAGCAGCCTACTCGCTTGGTAGTGAGTCGAAAAACAACAAGACTGAAATAAGAGTACAAGACTTACTATATTATTATCATCCTCAGCAACTGCCATGACCATTATCATTTCCCTCAACAGCAGCTCCACCCGGTTCTTTGTCATGCTCCAGCAGAGGAACAGACGCTTTTTTACAGTTGGCCAGAACTATATATGACTAGTACTACAAACTGCATTTTTACTGCTGGTAATTGTTCGCACAACTCAATCAAACTGCCCAATCCACATACAAATCAGTGCTGCTGTGATGACTGAAGCTATTTAGTCTTGTGATGCAGAATGTTGTAGCCTGAGATAGGAAGATATAATCTATATGTAATATGGTCTAATCTGAGATCAGAGTCTTAAAAGATTAATATCTGAAAACAGAATGAGCAGTTAACTGGATCATCACGATCATATTATCTCATATTGATGGGATACTGACATTGAAACCTCTTTTCCCACCATTTTCCAAATCTAACAGGAACCTTCACCTAAATATCAGTTTATTTGTCTATGCACATCAGGCACTATCACAAATCTTATGATTGCAATTTACAAATTAGGTCATGAAGCCGAATAATGCGTGTAGCCTGATTATCGTGCGCAAAGAAAATTTGATCACACTGTTTTTTAGGTAATTAATCAATTTAGAATGATATTGTGCTTAAACTGTGTAAATATACCCATAACAATTAGGTGCATATTATGTGCAGTCATACTAAAGCTCCTGCTGTAAGTCACTCACGTGAATGAAACAAAGAAACGGAGGGTTAAAACGCTCCTGGCATGGGAACAGAACGTGGACTGGAAGAACAATATCTCATAAATCTTTAATGTTGTCATTTTTGCCATTAAAAACGAAAAGATAGGCTTAAATCATAATGCATTTGTCTCTTTAATATATCATTATTCTGTCATGCATGAAGACTTTCAAGTCTTAAATCGGTTACAATACAACAATGACAAGCTGCATATCACATTTGTGAACCTTGTATAACCTATTTATCTCATTTATCCACTTTACTTACATAATAGCCTTAGCAAAATCAACCTCTCGTCAAGCAATCCGCACCATAAAGAGATGCTTCATCTTTAAAAATTGTGACAGACATAACGGTAAGATCTCTATTCACCAAGTAATCTACAACAAAGCTGAATCCAACAGCTCTGGCTCGCTACTCAAAAGCATCCCTGCCTTTCCCATCAATTATGGAGGAACCTATATTTGGAACACACACGAAAACAGTAGATGCACATCAAAACAAAAGCATCGCATGGCTATAAATGCAGCCTCTATATGTAACAGAATCATTCAAAGCAGCTCGTGTCCTTAAGGAAAATGATTGTGCTATCTTAACTGAAGGTCTTTGTCCTATCTTTGCTCAATAAGATGCAGGTCTCTTGAACAGGATCAGTTCAGTTCTCACATTGCACTAAGCATAAAGGCTTAAACGTGTTGCCCTCAACTAAGACAAAAGATATATAGGGTATAATAAGGGAATGCATGTGCAAGTGAGTGGCGCAATGAAATTATCCAATTACTGGCAACATGATAATGGCTTCAGTGTGCTGTATTTCCAGGAAGAGCTAACATAAAACACTTAATGTCTGTCTGGGGCCGAATATAAGGCAAAACGGAGCTGAGAGAAATATAAGAATTCATTCACATGTGGATTGTCTGGATGCATTGCTGCACTACATGTATCACAAATGCATTTAAAAGATCATAAATAATAAATATCAAAATTAGTACTATTTTCAAACATGGTAAATGTGTCGTGATGTGGATGGTTTGGGTGTATTGTTTTTGTTGCAGATGTGCTTTACCTGTAATGTCATATATATATATATAACAATGTTACTATTTTCATATATGGTAAATTTATTCACATCTGGTTGCATTGTTTTTGTTGCATTTTTAAACTACCTATAATGCCACAAAAATAACAAATTATAATAATTAATAAAACAAAATTAGTGCTACTGTTTTCGAATACTATTAGGTGTGTTTGGTTTGGCTGCATTGTTATTGTTTTGGATTGTCTGGATGCATTGCTGCACTACATGTATCACAAATGCATTTAAAAGATCATAAATAATAAATATCAAAATTAGTACTATTTTCAAACATGGTAAATGTGTCGTGATGTGGATGGTTTGGGTGTATTGTTTTTGTTGCAGATGTGCTTTACCTGTAATGTCATATATATATATATAACAATGTTACTATTTTCATATATGGTAAATTTATTCACATCTGGTTGCATTGTTTTTGTTGCATTTTTAAACTACCTATGATGCCACAAAAATAACAAATTATAATAATTAATAAAACAAAATTAGTGCTACTGTTTGCGAATATTTAGATGCTACTATTAGGTGTGTTTGGTTTGGCTGCATTGTTATTGTTTACGTGTAGTGTCATGGTTATTTACGATGTTAGTAATTTGTACGAATTTTAAAATATCAAGTATATTTATTTAATGGTGATCATTAGCTATTATTTAACACGATTATAAAATAAATGTATATACAAAAATGTCATTGCTTGCTAATATGACTTACTTATACATCCCTAAATCATTATTTATTTAGTGTGTTTGACCCACTTCAGCTAATAAACCCATTTGAATATAATTTATAGTAATGGTCATCTGCTAACCAAACGCTGTGCGCTATAACGCGTCCGTATGGTGATGCTCAAAGGAACAGGTCGCTTGCAGGCGCAGCCAGCGGAGGTGAGGATGGTGGACATCATCTCTCTCCACGTACCTCAACAATGAAGGTCCTCTCTTCTCCACAAACAGACACGACCCAGAAGAGAATGTGGAAATAGCATGTTTTCCAACAGAACCCCGGGAGTCCAGTCTTTCTCCCCCTGGCTCCCACCCCCGCCATGACTGTCCCCTAATTCCCCCCACTGTCCGCCGTTGATTTCCAGGCTTGTTTCTTGTGTTTGGTCTTTATTATTTCAGAAAAACGACGAGCGCCCTATATTCCTGATGGTGCTGTGAGCGTTCCTTCTCAGTCGAGCGTTAAATTCGCAAAGCCATTTTGTGTTGCGTCTTCTCGAGGTGTTGCGTTGAAATAATGCTGCGCCGCTGATGCGCTCGAGCGAATGCAGCATCGTCAGCGCGCACAGACCCACGCGGAAGTCCGACTCTTTGAGCGAATCGGTTCCTTTGAACCGTTCGTTTCAAAGGATCGTTTGTTAAACAAATCGGCAAATACTTTCATCCATCATCCCCCAAAAAAGGAACGATAAAAAAAAATCCGGTTACGATTCCACTTGACGACTGTTTTACCACTTTTGAGGAATGTTTAGAGAGAAAAGGGTTATTTTTGCATTTACGCCCTCAATCAAATAGGGAAAATGTTCTGATTTCTATAAAACTGATATAAAACAGATATGATAAATAAATTCAAGATTTAACAACAAGGGTTTACTCAGACATTTTAGGCAGCATAAATGCAAAATAATGATACCTGTAATATAAATGTGGTGGTGTCGTATTTCATTCATTCATTTTATGAAATATACCACTAATTAATCATTGTCATAAGCTATTAAGCGATCAGTAACTGCTGCTTTAAGTCTCAAAACAATTATGTCACAGTCACACAATAATAGTCATTCAGAATCGGACACAAAGTAGGCTAACTGATTCAGTACTGAGTTTAGATTACTTCAGTAACCACTCTAAATGATTCTTAAGTCATATGATTCAGTTCAGTTCATCAAGTTATTCGCTCGGGATTCAAACTACATTGTGTGGCGATGTATGTTTTGATTCACTAAAAAGAGCCGGAGAGTCACTTGTTTGGGAATCGAACAATCGAGCGCTTCCTGTTTTTGATTCAATATTAGAATGTGGATCTTGTGGTGTTGTTGCTTTGTGCTAATCTTGACTGTTTGTGTCACTCAAGTAAAGTACTGTTTCTTAAAGCTTGTTTCTTAAAAACACAGAAAAAAAGTACAATTTACTGCGCTTTTGTACTCCGATATTTCACGTAAATTTCATTTTATTTCAGTTAAGTAAATCCACTATAACTATAATACTTTAAGTAAAATTAAATATGTGAATAAGTGTTCAAAATAAGTTTACACAGAAGTATTTATCTTAATTTTAGACACACATCTTTAGTGGTTGAATAAAATAACCAATAACTGTTTAAAACTGACTCCGTGAATCACTTTTGAATGATTCTTTTAAAGTAATAGATTCAAATGACCACATACTACTGTACCAAAATGTATAAATAATTTTATTTACATATAAATACATGCACAAGCACCTGGCATTCATGTTAACATTCCCAAAAAAAAGTATTTAAAGGAGACATATTATGCCCCTTTTTACAATATGTAATGTTTTGCTCAAACTTTCGCCATGGCATTAGAGCTGGTACACCGTTGTCGCTTGCGAAATCAAATGAAGGCGCCGTGGGTGTAAACTTACAGATTAAGGGGCGGTAATATTATAATGAGGTGCCTTTGCCACGTCACCAAAGGAGCGAAATCTGACGCGCTCGTTTTCTCAGACGGGTTAATGTTTTTCACGTTTCCTTGGTTGGTAGATGCACTGGGGACCTGATTAAAGCACTTAAAACCTGGAAAAGTCCGATTTTCATGATATGTCACCTTTAAGAAGATTTCATTGCGTTAGAGCTATAGCTACTTCAAATATCATAACCTTTGTGTTCTTATTTAATATTGCAAAGGTCAAATTGAGGCATATGATGCAAATCAAATGAAATGCTATTAAACCCACTATCGTCATCATTCATCTCTTGAGATGAAAATTATTATTTGTAATTTGCTCGACCGCAGATGTTGAGTTCCAAATCGTCAAAGTGTTATTCAGGGTGTTTAATATGAAAGGTGATTCAGAAACCTTGATTACCTGATGCAGTGATGCACTAAATTATGTTCATCCAAATGACCATCTCAAAGCCCGCTGGGGGTTCAGGGATCACAGCAGTTTTGAGTCCTTTTGAGGGAAGGGTCACAGTTGTGAGGAATGGGAAGCCAGTTTTGCGGCTGGCCCACAAGGCTCCGTATCTGGGTCACAGCATGCAGAACCTCCTCCGGCCCTGGAGATGCTCCTCTCTGTCCTGTGACCGCCATGGGATGGAAGCCAGAGCATCCAAGATGAGCAGCAGGGGAGGCTTGCTTTCTAACAGTCTCTCCATCTGGAGCTGTGTGAAAGCAGACACACACTTTAATGTGAGGTGTGTGTAGTTCTTTTGTCTTTAAAGCACAAAGCCTTAAAATAATATATATTTTTTTCTATGCTTCAATTCGTGCAGTAACTCGACAGATGCAGTTCTGCTCGACTACATTCGTGGCTCAACATGCTATGCTATCTTTCTCATTTGTTTGTACAAATGCTTTCAGATCAGACAGTGCATATCTTTATCCTCTTCTTCCAGTATAAACACACAAAAATATATGCGCAGTATGTTTAAATTTTTTTGGATATCAGTGTTATTTTAATATAATTGATATAGTAATATTTTTGTTAATATTTTGAAGTATATTACATTTTTATGTTATTTATTTATTTAAATTGTATAATTTTAGTAAGTTTTCCGTTTATTTAGTTGTAGTCATTTTTGTACTTAACTTTAGTAACTAAACGAAAATGAGAAATATTGCCTTGGCAAAATTGATATACTAATATTTTTGTTAATACTGTGAATAAGATTTTTTAAAATATATTTTTTCTTTTTTAATTGTAATTTTTTATGCTGTATGTCTTTATAATTTTTATTAAGTTTTAGTTTTTTAGTTTTAGTTATTTTAGCACTTAAATATGAAAAAATTATATTATGATGTTATGTTATGCTATGTTATGCAGATTTATTGTGGTAAACAAGAATTTAGTGATGATATTACATGATTCAGTGGCATTATTGTATTGTATTGTATTATGTTTGGCTTCTAAGATACAGTATTTGTTCATAATGTATCAAGATAGTAAAGCCAAAAATATCAGCATTTCAACATGAAATGAAATCTGTTATTCAAAAATAAGAAAATTAATGTCAATATTTGTTGATGTTGTGATGAATCTATTGCACACTTACGTTATTCAAATATTTGTATTTACTATAATATAATCAGTATTTGTTTACTATAATAGTATATAAATAAATAATTTGGTTTGAATTAGCATTTATTTTTATATTTCCAATTTTCATTTTATTCTATATTTCCTTTTTTTTTTAGCAATTTTAACTAAAATTTTAATAATTTCATTGTGATTTTATAATTTTTATTATTTTATTTTATTACTATTAGTTTAGTCATTTTTTTTATTTATAGTTTTGTTTCAGCGTTATTTTTAATTTGATTTTTAATAGTTTTAGCTTTAATTCTAGTTAACTAACAACATGAACAACTTAAGTGATGATGCATTTAATGGACACAATGCTTTTTAAAATGCAAAGCTTTCTGCAACAAAAGCATTATTAGCATCCCTCATTGGCATGCCTTTCTTGATACCGAAGCATTCAGAAATAAACAAAAGGTTGGGGCTGGTACCACTGCTGACATTTAAGAAAGGTCACCATTATGCTGAAAGGGCAGTTAAACATATAACGTAGATTCAGAAGCAGTCATGAAAGCATAAAACAAAAAGAATCAACTAGAGGGGACTCAGAAATGTGTGTTACCTTTTTATATAACTGCGTCAATGAAAACGCTACCACTCATCACAGTGGCATGTGTATGTAATGAGAGGCATGACTCAACACGCCAAATGGGTTCAATCAACTGATTCAGGACCCCTGCGTCCAGATGCACTTCAAACACTTAACAATGTTTGTGCGATGACGAACCTGGCCTTGGTTGAGCAGTTAAACGCATTTCGTGTGTATATTGGTGAGTCATCTTTGGTCTGGGAGACATTAAGCTGATTTCATGTTCCAAAACATTCAGAGTGAAAACTAATCAAGCCCATCTTCTCTTCCTGTTTTGCTTTTGGCCCTTAAAGGTCATTGGAAGCTACAAGGCTGTCCATCATCAGCAGATCTGTCAGTCTTATGATGGTTATTGTTCAGCAGATAAATCAAAGGTTGCTTGCAATCCAGCATTGAATGAAGAAAATCTACAGTACACTCCCTTGGCAATGCTGAAAGCTGTATAGTTTGAGAACTGGGCCGCTAAGTTGTCTCAAGACTGCTGGTGTGCACATATGCTAAAATCCGACCTAATCCTGCTTTACAACTGGGCCTTTCTACAGGAAACTAAGCCATCAACAGCTTCAGAGGAGCTCTGGGAAAACTAACTTTATCCACTGATCCCGTATGTTCCCATAAGAGTATGTATATTTCTGGGAAATATGGAGGTGAATCGGTCTAAAATTTCATATCCTCTTGGCTTTTAATCAACATTTTAAATGTTGGTTTAACTTGATTACATTAAATAATGCATTAGGCATTATTAACTTACAATGAACAACGTTTTCCCCTGCAGCATTTATTAATCTAGGTTAATGGAAACGTATAAATATGCTATTGTTTATTGTTGAATGCTAAAATTAATTTAAAAAAACAATTTGGGGTCGGTAAGATTTTCTGAAAGAAGTCTCTTTTGCTCACCAAGGCTGCCTTTATTTTAGACAGTAAACCGTAAAAACCTTAGTATTGTGAAGTATTTGAAATATCACATTTTAAAATAACTTTTCTATTTGAATATATTTTAAAATGTAATTTATTTCTGTGATCAAAGCTGAATTTTCAGCATCATTACTCCAGTCTTCAGTGTCACGTGATCCTTCAGAAATCATTCTAATATGAAGATTTTCTGCTCAAGAAACATGTCTAATTATTATCAATGTTGAAAACAGTTGTGCTGCTAACTATTTTTATGGAAAAATAATTTGGTTTGACAC